ATGCACTCTCGGTTTATGCTCACTAAGTAGACGATACGTACCTTTTTACAGATGCGATGATAAATAAAATGAAAATATGTGAAGGGATGGATTTATAGGCTGCGAGTGTGGGATAGTAGGCACTGGTTGATGTCAGTTCTTTTAGCGAAGTTAAACTTTTCCAAAAACAAAAAAGACGCAGGCTAGTTTTTTTTTTTGTAGCTGGAAGCACTTATATCAGCTCGAAGAGACCAAAATTGGTGGGAGCAGCGAAAATAAATAAAAAGCACAATTTTTTAAATAATAAAAATTGGCGTTTTATTGAATATTGTTCGAAAAAGTAATATTATTTACCGATGTTGTTGGATAAAAGTTGAATAAAATGGTATTTGACAAAATGAAGAAAAAGAGCAAAGGGTTGTATTTTAAAGAGATTAATTTAAATTGAAGTACACCATGCAGAATCTTTTATATTTTATATATTTTATGTTATATAATGTTAATTCCAAAACCTTGATTGATGACTTGTCAAATTTGAGACCTATTTCTGGAGGAACTCCATGCAGCTGTTTCTAGTGATTAGCACACCATTTTCGTACTCTAAATCCTGCTTCCACTAATTACGTATGTTCGTACATATTTTAGCATGATATGGCGCGTAGGTCGTACCATGTGTTAATGCATTTAACATATCATATTCGAATTTCTTGTTTGGGTTTTCTCCATAGGATTAGCTGATATTTGCGATCCGAATCAGATTAAAATATAACTCTGCTCCCAGTAGTACGTAAAACCCTGTGGATTTCTGTGGAGTTTTGTGAACTTGATGTTGTCTGGAATTGGTCATTATGTAATGTCGATGCCAATGCTTGGTTGCGGTGGCACTATATTTCGTAACACAAAAGATTCTAGACGCGTTCTGAATTTGCTTGTTACCGACTGAAGTTCAACGTTGACTTTGAGGTTTGCGGTTCTTGACCATCCACCAACGCCTTCGAAATAGAGAGATGCTTGAATGGGATCGATACCCAACCGATGCACAAGTCGTTTTGACACCACATTAATCTGTTAGCCGGAATCTAGGGTTGCCTTAAATTCATAGCTTCTACCATTCAATTCACCCGAGCGGTTGAAAGGAATACTTAAGATCTAGCTCTATTCGCCGATGCCACTGTTGACGACCTCTGAGCTGACACTTCTGCTGAATAGTTTTCTGCTTGTGGCCTTGTGGAAAAAAACAAAAGTGTATTGTGTTTTTTTGACACTTCTTGCACGGCTCAATTTCACTCCTTTTTGATTGATGGTTATCCTTAATGGAAATCAAACACATATTGTTTCTAGAAATCCATTTCTGTCTTTCGAGCGCTGTCATTGACAGCAATTGCATGCAGTAATATAAGGGGTGATCACCTTTACACTTTTGATATCTACTTTACTCTCCTGAATCCCTTTGATTGCTTCTAAATATTTGAAGCGAAAAGTTTTCATGAAATGCTCAATAGTTTGGAGTTCTTTGGTGTCCACAATCGACTGTTCATACAAACATGAGTAGTCTTGTCCATTCTCGTTGTTAGTAAGTGGAATCAGAATGGATCCCATTATTTTGGCTTTACTGGAAGAACCTTCAGTGGCAATAACGATTCAGGAAGACAGTCACGAAAGTTTTTCGCTAATCTGTAATCGCCAGACATATTGGGTAGCTTTAAAATCCTCTCAACTAAAATTGACACTTGACCTCTCTTGTTGTTATACCATATTTTTACACAAGTGGCAAGGCCGGCTCGTGTATCATATCCAAAAAACGCCAACAAACGTTTGCCACTTCGAATAATCCCCATACAGAATACCAATTAAAATGTTGTTTTTTTAGGTTATTGGAATATTTAGAAAAAAATTAAGGCCAGTTATATTATTAAAAGTAAAAATATTTATGAACAACATTTTTTTCAGCATTCTCACCCACGTTGAACGGGGAAAGTTCAAGAAATGAATTAAATCAATGTCAAAAGTCAATGAATTATGATGATGACACTTACTGGCGGGGGTTAGGTTTTGAGTTGATATTGTTGTTGGAAGTTGTGTAGTGTTAAACATGACTGTGACGTATATGCCTACTCCTACACAAAAAGCTAGATAGCTAATTGCTTTTTACTGCTGGTGTGGGTAACGAGCTCAGCAGCATGTGTTTCATAGGTGCTGTTTGATGTTTGTTGATGAAGACGAACACGAGGACTTAGGTCTCAGATATGACGTGTGCATTATTGTTTTGGTTTTGTAATGACCGCGTATTGTAAATATGTTGTCTTTTAAGATACAACCTAGACTATTACCAAAAATGTCAGCCTTTTGTTCCGCTGTTAGCGGTTTTAACTCACTCCGATGGCCGTTGACTGCCAATATAGTTATAGAATGGGTAGGGCACGAGATAGCGGAATGTGAACCTTGATGGTTTGGAACTCGATCAGCAATTGATGTGGGGTAAGTAGCAATGGACTCATATGATCATGATGAGAATTCGAAAAAAACATCAATCTTCTATATGTTTCAGATGAAAATAGTATGAGCTGCGAAATGAGGAAATTAATGGATTGTATGGTTTTTGCAATATCTTTCTCCGCTACCTACTCAGCTAACTTGCACAACTCCTAAAGGCTAAAAGGTTCTTATCCCGGTAGAAAAATCATTCATTTCTGCCTAAAACAGGTTGCCCATATTCGACGGACCTTTGGGCCCCTTTCAATCGACGAGGCTTGTCCGCAGGCAAAATTCTTTGCGTCAATTGAATTTTGTACGGGAACAAATGCAAATCAATTCGAATAATCCGTTGTAAAGTGGACCGAGCCATGCCCAACTGCTGAGAACTGCGTTTTTTGGGATGTTCTTGGGGACATCTCAACACTGGCTCGTACGGCAGCGATATTCTCGGCCGATCGCCTTGGTCGACTTTTATATGGCCTCTTTGGATTAGAAAGAGCCTTACCAGTCGAAAAATTTTCGTATAAACGCTTTTTCGTATAAACGCTTAGAAGGCGCACTTGTCACATTTTTTAATGTTTTAAAAGTACGTTGAGTTTTCACGATTGACTTTTTGTAAATTTCTACTATTTCAGAGCGCTCGCGTGGCGTGTATTGGTTCATGGTAAAAATCTGCTTGGACTGACACTTCAAACGCGCTATGTCATTAAGCGATGTGACATCTCTGTCAAAAGTTATGGCGTTGCCAGATAGGTCCGTCGAATATGGGTAACCCTGTAGTAGTATGCTAAAAGGGAAGCCGCTTCGGTGAAGAAATCGATAAGACTATTACTATAGTCCGCGGAATGATTAGATATAACTGAATCTAAACAAAGCAACATTATATACGTAAGACTATTTGTTTAAGTAAGAATTGTCTCCATTTAGTTGAAATGGAATCGTGGTGCAGTTTGGTGCAACACTTATCGTATTGTACATTCGTTGAAATCTGTTCACTACTTCTTATTGCAACATTTATATGTCAATGTCAGATTTCAACGAATTGGAGCTAAAGCCACCACCTTACTTCAGTCGGTCTTGCTGATTCCGTCTTTGCTATCGGTTGAGTGTTTGTGCTCAACATTGTAAACATTACACGTTCGTGTGTAATTACAAAGGTAAATCTCGTCACCTTTTGATTATAATATCAATAAAGAATCCACATATTTATTTGCATTAGAAACTAAAACTTTTGTGTTATATTTCTATTTTTCTCTCTCCTTTATCGAAGCGCAATTTCGGCGAACTAACACTATTCCTGTAGTCCACGATTCACTTAGATGTAACTGTATCTAAACTATTCTGAATTACCTACTCAATGATATAACTGTATCCACAACCCCACAAAAAACACACATCTATATCTTTAAAAAAATAAATTAATAATAATTAAAGCATGAAAAAACATAGGGTGATTGTATTGACAACCTCCTTATAAAAAATAATAGTATGTAACATATGAAACCTTATTGTTATTTTCATCAAAATATATGAGGGATTTAATAAATAAGTAAATAAAGAATAACATATTTATTACCGATTGTACGGTGCACGGACTGTAATATGCTACAGTTCAAAATAATAAATATTTTTCTAAAAAGAACAATAAAATTCAAAGAAATATTTAAAATTAAAAATACTAAATATATTAATTAGTAATATATAATAATAACGAAAATTATTATTAACTATCGAAATACCGAATGTAGGGTGCACTCGGACCCGAACAATTTCCAACAGAGCCGTATGTTTCCAAAAAATGTAATTAAATATTTGATCCTAACATACCTACATATATACAATGTAGTTGGTTACTGATTACCTATTACGAATCAACCAACCATAGAGTATACATAACTATTATGTGAATGTATTGTTGTTGTACTATTCAACGGTAATATTGTTAGTATTTATTTTGTTCTTCTTTATGTCCAAGATCACAAAATAAACAAACACAACAACAATAAAATCACTGATCACTGCTTATGTATTGCACTTTTTGCTTATATCTTCCTCACGTATAACACGACAGAGAGCGGATATCATAACGACCGTAGTTATGCACTTTGTTCGTTGTTTTTGTAATTATTGTTGGTTTTATTTTTATTTCAAAACGAAGCACTCTCGCTTTATGCTTACTAAGTAGACGATACGTACCTTTTTACAGATGCGATGATAAATAAAATGAAAATATGTGAAGGGATGGATTTATAGGCTGCGAGTGTGGGATAGTAGGCACTGGTTGATGTTAGTTCTTTTGACGAAGTCAAACCTTTCCAAAAACAAAAAAACGCAAGCTAGTTTTTTTTTTTTTTTTTTTTTTGTAGCTGGAAGCACTTATATCAGCGAAGAGACCGAAAATGTTGGGAGCAGCGAAAATAAATAAAAAGCACAATTTCTTAAATAATAAAAATTGGCGTTTTATTGAATATTGTTCGAAAAAGTAATATTATTTACCGATGTTGTTGGATAAAAGTTGAATAAAATGGTATTTGACAAAATGAAGAAAAAAGCAAAGTATTGTATTTTAAAGAGATTAATTTAAATTGAAGTATACCATGCAGAATCTTTTATATGTTATATAATGTTAATTCCAAAACCTTGATTGATGACTTGTCAAATTTAAGACCTATTTCTGGAGCAACTCCCTGCAGCTGTTTCTAGTGATTAGCACACCATTTTCGTACTCTAAATCCTGCTTCCACTAATTACGTATGTTCGTACATATTTTAGCAAGATATGGGGCGTAGGTCGTTCCATATGTTAATGCATTTAACACATCATAGTCGAGTTTCTTGTTTGGGTTTTCTCAATAGGATTAGCTGATATTTGCGATCCGTATCAGATTAAAATATAACTCTGCTCCCAGTAGTACGTAAAACCCTGTGGATTTCTGTGGAGTTTTGTCAACTTGATGTTTTCTGGAATTGGTCATTATGTAATGTCGATGCCAATGCTTGGTGGCACTATATTTCGTAACACAAAAGCTTCTAGACGCGTTCTGAATTTGCTTGTTAGCGACTGAAGTTCAACGTTGACTTTGAGGTTTGCGGTTCTTGACCATCCACCAACGCCTTCGAAACAGAGAGATGCTTGAATGGGATCGATACCCAACCGATGCACAAGTCGTTCTGACACCACATTAATCTGTTAGCCGGAATCTAGGGTTGCCTTAAATTCATAGCTTCTACCATTCAGTTCACCCGACCGGTTGAAAGGAGTACTTAAGATCTAGCTCTATTCCCCGATGCTGACACTTCTGCTGAATAGTTTTCTGCTTGTGGCCTTGTGGAAAAAAACAAAATAAGAAATACAACCAAAATAAAGATTCATTCAAACTACATCCGAAAATACCAAAAAATTTCTAAAAGCACACAAAGACGTTATTATTTTGCAAGCCGATAAAGGAAATAAAACCGTAGCAATGAATAAAAAGGACTACATTTCTTAAATGGAAACTCTTCTACAGGACAAACACACATATAAAATATTACGAACAGATCCAACCCAAAAATTACAAAAAGCGAATAACAATTTGGTCTCAGAACTATACAAGAACAAGAATATAACTTTGTTGGAAAAAAAGAAATTATCTTGCACCGCAGCTAACGCGCCTCGAATATATGGGTTGCCGAAAATTCACAAACCCAACATCCCACTAAGACCAATTGTTTCGTCAATGAATGTACCATGCTATGAACTCTCAAAGTATCTTGGACAGATTTTAAAAAAACCTAATCTCGAAGAACTATAATATAAAAAACTCTACTTCTTTAAAACAAAACATAAAAAACATCCAACTTGACAACACAGACATTCTAGTCTCCTTTGATGTAGTGTCACTTTTCACAAATATTCCTGTCCACACCGCAATAAAAATCATAATGGAAAAATGGGATGAAATAAGGAAATATACAGAAATACCAAAATCACGTTTTCTTCAAATTTTACAATTTTGCCTCCAAGACAACAACTATTTCATGTTCGACGATAAAATATATAACCAAGTATTTGGAATGCCAATGGGAAATCCACTATCACCGACAATAGCGGACATAGTCTTAGACAAACTACTTGACGACACACTAGCTGAGCTACAAAGTAAGGACATAAATATCAAATGTGTAGATGATATTTTAGCAATTATTAAAAAAGACGAATCAGATGAAATTCTAAACACATTGAACAAATACCACAACAAAATACAATTTACCATGGAAACTGAAACAGAAGGCTCAATATCATACTTAGATGCAAGATTAATTAGAAATAACCAAAACATAGAATTCGATAATTAACTATCATGCAACACAGCCGAAAACACAAATCCTTAATACTGCCAAAAATCTCATACATAGAATATTCAGCATTAGTGACGCAAAATTCCATAATAAGAACACTGACACAATTTTTAAAATTCTAAAATACAATAGTTTTCCATATAAAGTTATATGGACATTAATTGACGAAATTAAAACAAAAATACAGAGAGATGTCAAAACACCGGCGGATAATGAAGAGACAGAACCAAAAAGTTTTTACGGTGTAACTTACATCCCTGGGTTATTTGACAACAAACAACTGCGACAAATCATTAACAACAACAACATTAACTTTGCATATAAATCCAACACAACGTTAAGCACAATATTTACAAACACAAAAACACCTATTGACAAACAACAACAGAACAACGTTGTTTATAAAATTCCATGTAAAGGCAAAGCGAATGAAAGCTGTAACAAAATATACATTGGAACAACAAAGCGATCACTAAGCACACGAATGAGCGAACACAAGTCGGACATAGAAAAACAAAAGGAGACAACAGCGCTATCACAACATGCCTTTCACACTGGCCACTCACCAGACTTTGATAGCATAGAAATATTAGGCAAAGAGAAAATAGAAAAGAAAAGACTAATGATTGAGAGCCTTAGAATACAACAACATATTGGCAAGACGATGAACCTAAAAGAAGATACTGACAACATAAGTTAGTGCTATGGAGTGGCAATAAAGTAAAAAACTGTGATATTAATTTTTAAGTAGTGTAGTTTATTATATGTTCTATGTAAACTCGTCTTAAAAATTATATTGTAAGTTTATCCCATCTTGTGAATTAATATGAAATTGAAATGTTAATTTTTGATTTATTTAAATAGACGAATTCCCCAGAAGAAGTCGCCAAAACAGCGACGAAACGTCGGGAATAAAATACAAAATAAAATAATTTTGTTTTAATTTGTATATGAAATCTAAGGTCAAGAAGCTAAAACACACAAACAAAAGTGTATTGTGTTTTTGTTGACACTTCTTGCACGGCCCAATTTCACTCCTTTTTGATTGATGGTTATCCTTAATGCAAATCAAACACATATTGTTTCTAGAAATCCATTTCTGTCTTTCGAGCGCTGTCATTGACAGCAATTGCATGCAGTAATATAAGGGGTGATCACCTTTACACATTTGATATCTACTTTACTCTCCTGAATCCCTTTGATTGCTTCTAATTATTTGAAGCGAAAAGTTTTCATGAAATGCTCAATAGTTCGGAGTTCTTTGGTGTCCACAATCGACTGTTTATACAAACATGAGTAGTCTTGTCTATTCTCGTTTTTAGTAAGTGGAATCAGAATGGATCCCATTATTTTGGCTTTACTGGAAGACCCTTCAGTGCCAATAACGATTCAGGAAGACTGTCACGAAAGTTTTTCGCTAACCTGTAATCAGACATATTGGGTAGGTTTAAAAACCTCTCTAGTAAAATTGACAATTGACCTCTCTTGTTGTTAAACCATATTTATGCACAAGTGGCAAGGCCGGCTCGTGTATCATATCCAAAAAACGCCAACAAACGTTTGCCACTTCGAATAATCCCCATACAGAATACCAATTAAAATGTTGTTTTTTTAGGTTATTGGAATATTTAGAAAAAAATTAAGGCCAGTTATATTATTAAAAGTAAAAATATTTATGAACAACATTTTTTTCAGCATTCTCACCCACGTTGAACGGGGAAAGTTCAAGAAATGAATTAAATCAATGTCAAAAGTCAATGAATTATGATGATGACACTTACTGGCGGGGGTTAGGTTTTGAGTTGATATTGTTGTTGGAAGTTGTGTAGTGTTAAACATGACTGTGACGTATATCCTACACAAGTCCTACACAAAAAGCTAGATAGCTAATTGCTTTTTACTGCTGGTGTGAGGTAACGAGCTTAGCAGCATGTGTTTCATAGGTGCTGTTTGATGTTTGTTGATGAAGACGAACACGCGGACTTAGGTCTCAGATATGACGTGTGCATTATTGTTTTGGTTTTGTAATGACCGCGTATTGTAAATATGTTGTCTTTTAAGATACAACCTAGACTATTACCAAAAATGTCAGCCTTTTGTTCCGCTGTTAGCGGTTTTAACTCACTCCGATAGCCGTTGACTGCCAATATAGTTATAGAATGGGTAGAGCACGAGATAGCGGAATGTGAACCTTGATGGTTTGGAACTCGATCAGCAATTGATGTGGGGTAAGTAGCAATGGACTCATATGATCATGATGAGAATTCGAAAAAAACATCAATGATGTTATCTTCTATATGTTTCAGATGAAAATAGTATGAGCTGCGAAGTGAGGAAATTAATGGATTGTATGGTTTTTGCAATATCTTTCTCCGCTACCTACTCAGCTAACTTGCGCAACTCCTAAAGGCTAAAAGGTTCTTATCCCGGCAGAAAAATCATTCATATCTGCCTAAAACAGTGAAAGATCATTATAAGTGATAAATTTCGATTCCGATGTCACTAACGTTGTAACTACAATTCCAGTAGATGGCGGGCTTATTCTCAAACCTGTGTGTGACACAAGCATAGCGGTAGGAATAGTAAAGCCATAAGCATTATCGACATTAGCATGATGCTTGACGTCTTGCTTTGACGATGGTCCTTCACTACTACTCCCTCTATGCATAAGAGGGAGAGATTCCTTTTAATATTCCGACAAAGGAGGTAATCTGTTTATGGCTCCTTTAACTTTGCCGTTTTGTGTTTTTACGCAACTACACGAACGGTTCCATCGTTACCCTTGTTAGTTTGGATTATTTTGCCTAGGGGTTACTGCATTACAGCCATGTTGTCCTCCAATAGACCACGCTCAACAGTTAAAGATGGTGTTCTCCATTTTCTTCTTTCTTGGAGAGTACATAGGTATTCTGTAGACTAACATCCCCAGGACTCATGCCTAATGCGCGATACTACCTTCCACTTTCTTGTCAATGATGTTGACGATTGGTTCGGTGAAGGATCAAACTGTGTCCCACCAGAAAACTACCAGGTGTTAACTGTTAACGCTCATTTGGAATGTTAGGAGTAGGAGTCAAAGGTCCAGAATTCAAGACTGCCTCTATTTCGATAACAATTGTTTTCAAATCTTCGTGGGTTAAAGATGCACTTCTTGTGGTAAGCCGCAGCTTCCCATAAGCCAATGTGAAGCTCTTGGGGAATAAACTGGTTATTAATAACTTCTCTTGAGCATGTCTCGGCTTTAATTTTCTGATATTCTCACCAAATACTGTTTGATTCAATTCATCGAGTTGATTTTTTGCTCCTACAATATTTGTCGCATTTTCTGAATGCAAGGTTGAAATTTCCCCTGACGGGCGATATTGTCAAGTCTGCAACTATTTCCAAATGCACAGTCTTGTTGCCTCGTATTTTGTAGTGGACCATCAATAATCAACGCTGGACACAGTAAAGGTCTTTTAGGCGTGATTCTGCTAGGTAGGGGATTTCCCTTAATTTTTCGGCTTCGCTCAGGTGCACCTTACGCAGTTTTGCACAGTGTTGCCTGGCATAGCCTTCCCTCGATGATAAAATATTTCTGTATTTCTTAATGTTGCGAGTAGCAATTGTGAGCCATAGTGGTGATTCAAATGAATCATGTCAAGGATGAGTTCCACAATCAAGGTCGTTTTATGGCAACAACATCGGGTGTTTTTTTTTTTTTTTTTTGTAGTATGCTAAGGTTGCCTCTTACAACCTGCCACCGACTCTACGTATTCCTTTGTCATCAAGAAACGGATTTAAACTGTGCATGGAAGTTGGTTTGTGCAATGCTCCATGTGTCCTCAACTGCTGTATTTCTTTCGCAAAATCCGACACCTGGATGGTCTTTACTATTAGTTGCGTTGCTTTATTCAGCTCCATAGGGGTCAATACTTCTTTCGAGCTTCCATGCTTGCGTCCACTTATCCTGTAGGCAAATCGCAGGACACAACCGACAATTCG